CCTTTGCCTCGAAAGGAAGGAATGAGGAGAAGTGGGAAGAGCTGGAGGCAGGAAGGTCTAGGCTTGGGGGGAGAAAAGCCTCCTCACAATCAGAGCTGGCCCGAAGTGGAAAGGACGACCAGGGCGCTTGTAGGAGAGCAGACCATCACCATAGTCCTCTCCAAGCCAAGGCCAGAGGAGAGCTTGGCATGAGAGAAGCTATTGGGTCTGGATGAAGTCTGAGGGGCCATACAACTCAGCTTCCAGGATTCTGTAATAAACAAACATCAAATTTATTTATATCTATATCTATATATTTGAGGGCACTTTTAATAGCAGTAGCTGCATTTGTATGGTGCTTTAAAGATTAAACAAAGACTGTTATATCGATTATCTCAGGGGAGAGGGAGGGAGAGAGAGAGAAAGAGATAGACAGACAGACAGAAGGGGGGTGGGCAGACAGACCAAATCTTCATTGAGTTTTTATCATGTTCTAGGCATTGCGCTAAGAACCGTGGATACAGATACAAACGATCCCTACCCTCAAGGCACTTACTTGCCGGTGGAAGACGACAAGGCACAAATGGGTGGGGGAAGAGAAGGTATGGTGAAGAAAAGGCCCCAAAGTGGCAAGAAGGCCTGGGTTTGTGCAAGACAAGGCAGAAGCTCCGCCATGAGACCAAGGACATCCAGGGAAGGAGTCCAAAGCTCCAATGGAAAGAAGATCGGGAGGGAAGGAGATTGAGACCATGGCAAGTGGTCTGGGAAAGAGCGCCAAAAATAGGCACAGAGTCCTGGCCCCCAGCCAACTCAACTACCCTGAGAAGTAGGTATCATGAGTATTATTATTATTCACATTTTGCAGTTGGGAGAAACTGAGGCTCAGAAAGGTGAAAACTTTGCCCATAGTAGTACTGCTATTCGTTGTCAGAGACAGGATCGGAACCCAGCTCTCTCTTGACTGCAAGTCCCCTCTCCCCACTCTTCCCACTACATCATGCCTGGGTCTTCCAATTGTGCTACATAAAATACCCGTCATTCAAGCCACAGACAACTGAATACTCATTTACATAGTCATCAGGAGTGTTTATTGGCATCTTTTTGTTTCAGCTACTCTAACACAGTGGCATGATTAAGGCCGCACTCTATTTAGGAATGCCTCGAGATTTCATGCCTAAAACAAAACAAAACAAAGATTATTATCATGAATTATCAATGAAATTTTGGTTCTTTGAGTCCTCAGCCCTTAGCCTAATGCCTGGCACATAGTACATGCTTAATTAATGTTTGAAAATGTTGGTTCTTGTCAATTGGGAAACAGGGACCTGAACTCAATACCTGGGTCTGTTACTTAACAATCATTTACTTCTCTGGGCCTCAGTTTCCTCGATTGTAAAAAATAAAAATAAGGGGATTGGACTAGTTGAACGCTAGCCTCCCTTCTAGCTCTGTCTGTGGTTCTATGAATTATTCTTATTTAGGGATCAGTCTTGAATATCACCATTCTTCTGACCTTTCCTATATAATCAGACCTTTGTATTTCAAAATTTAACCACAAGAAAATATTCATGTCAGCCAATGAAAAGTACCGAGGAACTGGGCGGCCTGAAGTTCGAGTCTGTTTTTAACTAATGAAATCCACAGTTGAAACGGCAGAAAATACAATGCTCCAAAGAGGTCCTTGTCAGCCACCAGATGTCACGGAGTGTGAGGGTTTTCCCCTGACAGGGTCATCAGGCACACAGTCATTTGTCCTCAGCTTTCACAATAACCCAGGGGGACACCCGCGAGGGCTCCAGGAGCTCACAGCTGCCTCCCCCACACGTCCAAGTGGACAGAGAAGTTGAAAGTGACAAGATCTGACTTTTCCCTGGTTGGGGGGCACGGGGCATTCTGGGGGATTGCATAATGAATCGATTAGCCCAGAAATAAAACAAAGCCGTTCTGTTACAGGAAATCAGAAAGGAAGTCGGGTCGGAGGAGAATTAACCTCCTCGTCTAGAAGGTTTCTTGCATTCTAAAAGAAGCCCCACACTGGCCGTCAGGAAAGAGCAGGCTTGCACCACCTCACGGTCCGCCATTAATAATGGAGGCTTCTCTCTTGCCCCTAATTCATGTTGAAAGCACAAAAATATCAAAGAGGAGGGACAAAAGCGTTCCTTCAATTTGGGCTTCAAGAAAAGTTATTGCTGAAGTCAACCAAGAAAAGAAAATCAGATGGAAAGTGTAGTTTGAGTTATGCTGTTAAAGGTGGAAAGGAAGAGGGAGGTTTTCAGGAGGATTCTGAGTCCCGTAGAAATCCAAACTACTCAATCACATCATTATTGTTGAGGCGTCCAGATTTGCCCTCTCGAGATCACGGTGTTGGGGTCTTCTTTACTCCCATTCGCTGCCCTTGCGGCTTTGGGCGGTCGGGCTCCTCTGGCTCGGATTCCCTCAACTGTAAGATGAGGAGGTGAGATGAGGTAGGGTTTGGGGTCCTTTTAAGCTCCAGAGCTGGGATCCATTGACTGGACAGCCTCAGGGCCATAGAATCACCGGTGATGGAGCTGGAAGGCCCCGGAGGCTAATCTCATTTTACAGATGAGGAAACTGAGGCTGAAGCAGGCCAACTGACTGGTTCGGTGTTCTACCGGCTGTCACTAGCAGAGCTGAGATTTGAACTCAGGCCCTCTAATGACAAATTGAGTACTCTTTCTTTATAAGGAACTGATTTGCCTCTGGTTCTAAATCTGTAATACTGGAGGTGGCGCACTGGAGAGAGCACCTGGCGTCGAGAAGACTTGAGTTCAAATCTAGCCTCAGACACTAGCTGTGTGACCTTAGGTGAGTCTGTTTGCCTCAGTTTCCTCATCTGTCAAATGAGCTAGAGAAGGAAATAGCAAACCACCCCATCATCTTTGCCAAGAATACCCCAGGTAGGATCAATAAGAATCAGACACAACTGAACAACAGAGATGAGTCAATCGAAGTAGACGCGTGGTTACTCAGACTCGTGCTTTCATTGGTACAGGTTACTCCTGGTGTGGGAGCTCCATCTACCTGTGCAGGCCAGCCACTCGTCCATAACTGAAAGTTTTATTTTTATGTTGCCTGAGACACAGAGACCTTTAGGAATGGCCCAGGGTCACCTAGTTCCTCTTGACTCTAACACAGGCCTTGGCCCACTCCGCCATGCTGTCTCCATTCTGCAATTACAAGACAGGAAGAGGAGCACGTGGTGCTCATTCAGGAGGTACTTTAGAAGACCACATTGAAGTGTTTGAAAGCGAGAATGCCAGAAAGAAGCCGTCTGGGGACCCCAGCTCTGAGGCTGCTGCCACAGAGAGAGCTCTGTAAAAACAATAAACAGGCAAATGAGACCCTGGAATATTTGGCTGCAGGTGTGAGGGCAAGATCCAGAGGCTAAAGCTAAGAGCCGTTGTCCATCCTGGCTCTTAGCAACACTGATACGTTTTCAGTTCCAGTGATTTCATTTCAGAACCTTTCTTCTTTTTTTAATTATGAACTTGACAAGCATAAGCAAATACAAGCATTTCCATAAACAAAGAACAGAAAAAGAGGATTATATTTGAGACTTGGGATCTCGATCACGGATGGTTTGATTTTTAAGGTCTATGTTCAATTTAGCACAGTAGCCCTACAGTAGCTGCTACCCTCCTCCCCCTGCATCCCCCTCTGTACAACCTTCTCTTCTCTTCTGGGTGTTTTTAAATGTTTTATTGAAGCCCCCGAAATATTATTGACTAGAAACTGTTTGAGAGCTCCTCTGAATGTGTCATTCCTCAGCTTAAAATTGTCCAATGGCTCCCTGGTGCCTATCAAACACAGTTCAGTTTCCCCAGGGTGATATTCAAGGCCTTCCATATCATGCCCCATCTTCCTTTTCAGTTTTTGTATGACGATCCCTTGTACACATCCCATGCTTTCCCATTTCCATGTCTTTGTTTATGCTATACAATCTTGGACAAATAACTTAGCCTCTCTGTACCTCAGTTTCCTCATCTGTAGAGTAAAAAAGCTAGTCTCAATAACCTCTAAGGTCCCTACAGCTCTGAATCTATTAGACCATGAACTCTAGGTGATTGTAAAGAGCTGTCCTACTGCAGCCCGTGTAAAGGTAGCCACAAGTCCAACATTTGAACATTGATGAGCCTGAAGGAAGCTGAGCCTGCCGTCTGGGCCTCTTCTAACTGACCCTCTGCCCACATCTCTTCCCTACCTCTTCCAACTCTCACAGAGGTCACCACAGGCCCGTGTTCCAGATCTGAGCTCTGGTTCTTGTCTCAAATGCCTTAGGTAGGAATCCTCGAATCTCTGGGGACTAATGACCCACCGGGCAGGACCTACCCACCTACCTGGCCCCTCCCTGAGTGGGGATCTCTCAGCAGTCTCCCTTCTGGGCTGCCCGGGACACGAAGCCACAGCCAGCAACGTGGGCCACCCTAAGCCCAAGGCCACTGAAGGGCGGGAAGAACAGCACAGAAAATCTTCCCTGATTTCACTCAGTTGGTGAGGACTCTCATGGCCTCCGATCTCACACAGCATTTGGTTTGCCCATCTCAACTCATCATCCTCGAGAGTGAGAAATGCAGCATTTCTGTCCTTGGACCCCTGCACCTAGTGTGGTGCCAGGTACACAGCAATGGTTAATAAAAGTTTGTCTAGTGACTGATCGTGTATCATTGCATTCAGCGTGCATCATGTCCCTGTATGTATCTTATCTCTTCTTGGATAGTGTACTGTGTGAGGGCAATGATTCTGCCTTCTTTCATCATTGTGTCCCTCCCCAGGACCTAGTTCAGTGCTCTGCATACAGCAGAAACTTAATGTTTGTCGAAGTGGAGTTGAAGGTGACTTATGACAAGTCTTTAAAGATGAGTAATCAATGCTCTCTCTATTCAATCGACAAGCACTCATTGGCCCCCTGTGTGCCCAGCCTGGGCTGCGGGGATACAGTCCCGGCCCACAGGGAGCTTCTATTCTATATTATATTCACAGTCAGAATTCAAACTACTTACTTCGCATCCCAGGCTCGACTTGACTTTATGCTCTTTCCTTGCCATTTTTTGTAGTTTTCTGTGAGATCGTGAGACACTGTAATGAGGGAGAAACAGAAAAACAGTAACTTGCATGTACACTTGAAGGTTTTGCTGAGCTCTTCCTCCCAACACACCTGTGAGCCAGGTAACACGGTTATTATTATCCCTGTTTTACAGACGGGGAGACTGAGGTTCTGAAGAAGGTCAAAGAGCCAGTCAGTGTCAGGAACAGAATCTCCTAGGGTCAAGATCAGGTCCAGTGCTCCTACATCATGACTTGTAAAAATCTTTACTTAACTTCAAACTAAATTTTAGTTTCATTAATGAGTTCAGAATTGCTAAGTGTTCATATCTCAGCTTGATTTAATGACTTCATTAAGTAGCATTTAATGCCTTTCACTAAATGTCATTTAATATCTTTCATTAAGCAGCTTACTTGGTACCAAGGATCTGTGAACACACAGCCCAGTGCCCAGCATATAATAGGCACTTAATAAGTGTTTGCTGATTGATGTCTATGTCAAATTCCATTAAATTGTCAAGGGTCGGGGAGAGTATTCAGTTCCAGGAACCACATTTTATGAAGGGCATTGATAAACTGGACAGCATCCAGGAGAGGGTGGCCAGAGTGGGGAAGGGCCCTGAATCCAGCCCTCAAAATCCCAGTGGAAGGAACTGAGGTTGTTTAGCCTAGAGAAAAGGAGGCTCATGGATTACACCATAGCTGTCTCTAAGTATTGAAAGGTTGTCATGTGAGAGGGGGATTAGACTTGTTTCACTCAGCCCCAGAGGGCAGAATCAGGAGGATTCAAAAAGGCAAATTGAGGCTTGCCGAAGCTTCCCAATGATCAGAGTTACCCAAAAGTGTAAGGAGCTTCCCAGAGAGGGGGTGGGGGTCTTAAAGCCAAGGTTGGGTGACCACTTAACCAACACATCATAAAGAAGATTCTTTGTTGGGTGTGGGTTGGACTCCATAACTTCTGAAATCCCTTCCAACTCTGAAATTTTGAGGATCCTAAGACTTTCCCTATCTTGGAATTTATAATGTAGCGTATTTATAGAATCCCAGAGCTCGGGGTAAAAGGGACCCTCACAAGCCATGTAGTTTAACCCCCTCATTTTTAGGATTGAGAAATCTGAGGCCCAACGTGGTTCAATACCATGCCCAAAATCATACAGAGAACAAGTATGGGAGGCAGGATTTGAACTCATGACCCCAAAGCCAATGTTCTTTTTGCAATGCCACATTGCCACCTGCTGCTCTTTTCATTAGCACAGGATTTGTTAAAATGGAATTTGGCATGTGATCAGTTTGAATAAGGTCATATGGAGAGCAAATCTGAAATTACTCACAGAACGACAGCAACAAACTCTTTCACAGCTTTGGAAATGGGGACACCCTTTCTCAGAGACGGGAGGAATCTTGGGGACAGATCAGCTCAAGAGGAATTCCTCAAAATTAGCCATTCAGTCATTGTTTGGACACTTGGCAGAATGGGAAGCTCACTACCTCAGGAGGCAATGTTGACGCTGTTGGACAGCTCTGTCCGTAAGATCGTTCCTTCTAGTAAACCCCAGTCTGCCTCCCTAAATGCTCGCCTGCTGGTCTTTGTTCCAACCTCTACAGCAACATTCTCTTCTCTCTCACCTGGCAATTCTCCCTGAATTAAAGGCAGGTAAGACCCATTAGCTTCTCCATAAGCACAAGGAGGCTCATATGGTTTCCAGACCGCTTATCTTCCTGGTTGCCCTCATCTGGACTATCTCTACTATGTCAATATCTTCCCTTGAAATGTGGTGCGCAGACCTGTTCTGATGGCATCTGGCATGCGCTGAGGATGATGGAACTTTTCAGGATCTCAGCATTGGAAGGGACTTCAGAGGATATCTAATCCAACCCGTCCTTAGTCACAGTCAGAGATTTAGAGCTGGAAGAAATCCTGGGAGCCACTTACTCCCGCCCACTCATTTTATAGAGGAGGAATTAGAGCTCAGCAAGGTGAAATGACTTGCCCAAAGTCACACAGATAGGACGCGGCAGAGCTGGGGACCGTCTTTTCCCTGTACCACACATCTGAACAAGAATCTCCTCTCAAGACCTCCAATGAAAGAAAGCCATCCAGTCCCAACTGTCTAACTCACCAGTAAGGGAAGATCTGAGCATGCTCTCAAGACTGACTTCTCATTGGCCAGTCCCCTCATTACTTTATGTTTTACAAATTTATCAGGAGTGACATCAGGTTCACATGTTTGCACCCCTGTTTTCTCCCTTTTGAAAACAGAGAGGATATTTGCCCGCCTCTCACTTTCAGTGACTTCCCTTGTTCTGCGTGTCTTCTCAAATATTACTCATGGGAGTTTCATGATCACATCTGCAAGCCCCTTTCAAAGCCCATGATACAACCCTCTAGGCCTTGGATTCAAACCCATTTAAAAGCACAATCCATCTAATCACTATCTTTCCCTCATCTTCCACTTTAAATCTCTCTTAAAGACGCTGGTTCTGTCTTTACCAGATTGAAGCCTTTTCTCTTTCATAGAGAATATAGAAGTAAATTAGAAGAGGAGACTTATCTGACCCACTCCTCAAATGGACCTGTTGGGGCTCACGTAAGATCAGTATTGATCCACTCATGAAACCCCAAAATCAATGGAAACAGGGTGCTGGAGTGAACAAAAGCTTGGATTTAGCCAAAGAATCTGAATCCAAACCCTAGAACTTCTCCTTACTATTAATGTGACCTTGGGGAAGTCAGGCCCTCTCTGGGACTCAGTTTCCTTACCTGTACATGGACCAGAGGATCTCTAAACTCCCTTCTAACTCTAACTCTGCCATCTCATAAGTCATTGGCCAGTGAAATATCTAAGATAGGGAATGAAGCCAAATGATGAGAGGTAATGTACACTGGAAAGAGTGCCAGGGCTGGAGCAGAAACTGGAAAGAGATACATTGAAGCTTGATTTGAAGGGGAAATTCCTAATAACTATAGCGATTCAACAGCAGAATGGTCAGTCTTGGGAAGTAGCGGTTTTTGCCTTCCTTGGAGGTCTACACGCAAAGGGTAGCTGAATAGTTGTTCAATATGTCATAGATGGCATTCTTGTTCAGGCAAGGACTTTTAGAGATGCGCATCAATGCGTTGACCAGCATCAGGAGATAGGAACCACGTCCACACATAATAAGCATTGTTTCAACTGCACCTTATGTCCCAGTCCCAAATGCATCCTCTCCCTCTCCCCCCACCCCCAGCTGCTGGGGTTTCTCTTGTTTACCCTGAAATGGAAGGGGAAACATCTGGAAACAAAGAACATTGCAACGTTCTCTGATATCCCTGGGATCCTCTAAGAATGCTTCAGAGCAAGAAATACAAAAACCCCTCCTTCTCTCCTTGGTACATTGGCCCATCTAGGGCACTTTCCCGCTGGAGCTATCACCTTTTAACCTTCAAGAGGCCAGGTAGCATTGCGAACACAAGCCAGCTTTGGAGTCAGGAAGGCCCAGGTTCAGGGTTGGCCTCAGACTCCTACTGGCTGTGCAACCTGGGCAGGCTACTTAACCTCTCAGCGGCCTCAACAACCCTCTAAGATTTTTACATGACAGAGAAGTCCTCAAGCTGAACTGGTACAGGAGGTTCCACCTGAGAAGTTCCAGCTGGTGCTTAGGACCAAAGGATGACAGATTTAGAGCTGTCATCGTGTCCAATCACCTCTCCTTACAGATGGGGAAACTGAGGCCCAGAGAGATTTCAGAACTTGCCCAAGGTCACACAGGTAGGTAGGTAGGTAGGTAGCCTAGATAGTCAAGTCCTGGCTCCAAATCCAGCTGCCTTTCCACCATACTCTGCCCCAACAAAAAGAAGCAACACCTTTTGACAGCCTGGTAAAGAAGGCAAGGTCCCTATTATCCTCCCCAATGAAAAGATGAAAGGATGGAGACCCTGAACCTTAACTAATTTACCCTCAGGTCAGTCGGTTCTAGGCGACAGAATTAGAAGCAGGCCTTAGTCCTTCACACTTATGACTCCTTCCCACCGCCTTGTGGGTCTGCCGCCATTTTGATGACCCGTGGCCCCTGGTCTTGGTAGTAGTCTAGGAAAGCCAGGACTCCTAGGGCGGGAGCAAGCATCCCCAGGATGCCTGCAGGCTGTTTTGTCTGCCTTGATGACAGCAAAGGAACGGCAGGAAACCTCCCCTCCATGTGACAGAACCCATGGCTCTCAAAGAATCCCTTCCCCTAAACATTTCCTTATGGGGTTCCCAGTCCTCCGTCGTCAACATTCTGCTGCTCACAACCACATGCGTGACTAGATTCCCTGCCAAGCCTCTTGTTTGCTGTTATACCGTGATAGTTGGGGCATAGTTGGAGATATCCCATGTTTACCGATATTTAAATCACTGACAGTAAGAGTAACAATAAATGACTTTTCTAGGGTGCTCTATAGTTTGTAAAGTGCTTTTCATATCGATCTCATTTTTGCTTAGGTGGTGCAGTGGATAGAGTGCTGCACCTGGCATCAGAAAGACCTGAGTTCAAATCCGCCCTCAGACTCTTACTAGCTATGTGACCCTGGGCAAGTCACTTTGCCTCCATCTGCCTCAGTTTCTTTACTTGTAAAATGGGAATAATAATAGTGCCTACCTCCTCGGGGCCTTTGTGATGACTAAGTGGGACAATATTTGTGAAGTGTTTTGCAGACTTTAAAAGTGTTATATAAATGCTAGCTATGCATTCCTTATTATTCCCATTTTACAGATGAGAAAATTGAGATTCAGAGGTGAAGTGATTCACACATGGTCACATAGCTACTCAGCATCAGAGGCACGATTTGAAACCAATGAATGAATAAATACATAAAGCATTAAACAAGTATTTACCCTATTCCACACATTAAGTATATATGCATAAACGTATACACATACATCATATACACATACATACACACATATATATATTTCATATAGCCAAATGATTTCAAATGCAAACCATTTCAGATTTGACACTGCCAGGTAAAAACCCACGTGAATGAAACAAAAATCTGCTCTGATTCAGTAACC